ATTTAGTTCAACCTAGGGGCAAGGAAAAACCATGGAAAGGTTAAGGATGAGGTGAGGAATGGGAGTAGAGGGACAGGATGAAGGGCACTGGCTGCAGTTTGGAGAGCTGAAGGAGGTTTTTTTTTTTTGGTGGGTCTCTATGCAGCCCCGTGAATAGGCAGTGCTATTCACAGGCATGTTCTTAGCTCACTGCAGCTTGAATCCTGGGCTCAGGTGACCTCCTGCCTCAGCCTCCAGAGTATCTAGGACAGTAGGCCAGCCACCACACGCAGCTAGGAATGGAGTTTTGCAGAAGCAATGACTGAATCACATATGAATGATCCTATGAGATTAAACGGCGCTGGTGGTTGGTGAAAGAGATGTTAAAAAGCACAGAGGTCGGCAATCTTTAGATAGAATGGGCGAGGAGGGACAGGATGAGAAGAATACCAAGGAAGGGCTCCTTGGATATTCTGACTTGCTTATCTAGTTGGTGATACTATGTGAACTACATGTTTCCCCCGAAAATAAGACAGGGTCTTGTATGTATTTTTCCTCAAGAAGACACCCAAGGGCTTATTTTCAGGGGATGTGTTATTTTTTTTAAGTATGGTCAACAATCTACATATTCAATAAGTTAAGTCGTCTTAACAACTACATTATTCAAATATAGTTAAGTCGTCTTCTTCTGGAACATCATCATAACTCTCCAAACCCGAATTCCATCCTGAATTTCTTGCGACTCTATTTCCTTTAGAACCATTGGCCCCAGTCTCTCATGTCGAGCAACAGAGCTGTCATGGGGCAGATGAGAAGGGCTGCTCATCTTCTTTACCACTCTGTGACCAAATGCATGGGTCTTGTAGATATATGCGTAGCCACGCCTATCACTAGGTCTTATTTTCAGGGTAGGGCTTATAGTGCACAAATGCTTAGAAATCCTGCTAGGGCTTATTTTATGGGTAGGTCTTATTTTCGGGGAAACATGGTAAGTAAAATCCTAAGTCACCCCCGCATGACTAAATAGAACCCCTCTCAGTCAAGGGACCCCTGAGAAACCTTAAAGCTGAGTTCCCAGCCATGACAGGATGACACGTCAGATACAACTTATTATACCCCCCTTCCCCCCCTTGCTAACTGCCATCAGGCTTTTTTCCTTGAGAGCTAAACAGAAACAATCTTGTGATCTATCTATTTCCTCCTTATCTGCGTTTCAGGGCTACAAACTAACCAGCATTCTTTCTTAACAAAAGACCATAACCATGAAGTGGTTTCAGCCAGTCTATGGAACATGTGGCAGAGGGGGTTTTCTGTCCTGGCTTCACCTTTCTGACATCAGAGGCTGCCATTTTTTGAACATGGACCCCATAAAGGGCATAAAGCTCAATTGAGCATGCACATGTTTCTCCTTCCATTAAATATCACGACTCCTCCTATAGCTTGTTAAATTTGTTATATTTGGCCACCTCCCTCAGCATAAATTCCTATTCCTGTTGTCCCCCTGGGTGGAAGCATGTGGCTTCTGGCCAGGGCCTGCTTCTAGCCTGCCTCAACGGCCACCTATAGGCAGTAACCCTTTATGAGAAAATGAAGCTCTCCTTCCCAAATGTATGAACTTTGTCATTTTCTTGAATTAACAACTAAGAGAAATGGAACACTGAAAAACGGTGTGGTTCGAGGGGACGAGCAGAAGTCTAGTTTGAAGCATATGAGTTTTGAGGTGTCTCTAAGATCCTCTGAAGCTCAGAGGAGAGGTCTGGATCAGAAGTAGACACCTGATGAATCGCTGACATACAGGTGGTGTTGGGACGCAGAAAACAATACCCCAAATTGAAGGCCTCTGAAGCAGCCTTAGAAACAAAAGTATTTCTCTGACCTTTTCCTGTCCTCTTGTCTTTCAGTCTCATTGTCCCCCAAAGGTAGCCATAGAAACTGGAATCCCTCTTTCCCAAGGTGGGTCATAGAAAACAGAACCCCTTTTTCTCAAAGCCATTCATCAAACCTAAAAATATTACCCTAACTTTCCCTCTACCTTTGGTGTAAAACACTGGCCATAAAGAAACTATCTACTTTGTTTGACTGTAAGACCTCAGTCTAGAGAGGGTCCTATCCTACTCAGAAGGAGTAATATATGTTTAGAGAGGCCAAAAAGAATCTAGGTAGACAAGATTTCTTGGGCTTTCCCACTCAGTCTACTAACATTAGATCCTACCTTTTTGTCTATATTATATTTTACACAGCTGACTATACTTTGTTCAACCTAAGTATAAAAAGTAGACAATTTCTCTTACATCTTTGGGGCTTTATTTTAAAGGCTCCCTGTCACATAAAACCATTATGATCAAATAAATCTGTATGCCTCTTCTCCTATTAATCTGCTTCTTGTCAGTGATTTTCACTGAACCTTCAGAAGGTGAAGGGTAAGTTTTCCTTTGGCCCCGACAAGGGTAACTGAAGATATGGGTGTGAATGAGAATTGCTGTACCTACCTCAGTTCTCTCATCTGTAAAACGAGACAACAGCAACAACTTCATTTTGCTGATTGGGATAGATGATCATAACATACATAACCATATGTATATTAGAACCACACCTGATACGTCTTTTTTTTTATTTCGGCATATTATGGGGGCACAGATTTTAAGGTTTCAATAAATGCCCTTTTCCCCCTTCCCCCCACAAGTCTGAGTTTCCAGCATGACCATCCCCCAGATGGTGCACGTCTCACTCATGTATGTATATACCGGTCCCCTGCCCCCCTCCCCTGATATGTCTTAATCCCTTAATAAATGTAGGGATAAATGGATGTCATCATCCATCTATCCTAGTTAGTAAATATTTTCTGTAAAAGGCTAGATAGTAAATATTTTAAGCTTTGTGGGACATATGATCTCTGCTGCAACTACTCAAATCTGCCACTGTATCACAAAAGCAGTCATAGACACTAGGTAAAAGGATGGGCATGGCTGTGTTTGTTCCCATGAAACGGTATTTATAAAAATGGGACAGAGTGGATTTGGCCTGTGGACTGTAAGTTGCTGACACCTACTTTAGCTAGAAACATAAGGGTTTCCCTCAAACACATCCAAATGGTCACCAAATGATCTATATGTTCTAGCTCTAAATGCAGTGACAGTTGCCATCTCTCCAACCACATTACCGTGGTACATCCTGGTATCAAGTAGCTTCTCTGACTCCTGCCTTGTTTCCCTTTAAGCCATTCTTCGCATGGCGACCAGAGAAATCATCTCAAAATGCAAATCTGAACACATCCCTTCTTGGTTGAGAAATCTCCAACGCTTGACATTGCCCTTTTGACAAAACGTTTTGAGCAAGCTCCCAACCCATTTCAAACCTGGCTCCTGCTCCTGATTCTCCAGCTCACCTGTTGCTACCCCCTCCCTCTCTGGCCACGCACTTAACTCATTTCAGTCCTGCTGGACATCAGGCTGTCTCGAGGCTAGCTAGCCAGATCCCTGAGACCCTCTCCTGCCACTGCCTGGCTCTCGTCTCCTTCCCGGAGCAGTTAATAAGCCACTTTCTCGGCAAAACATCTCTAAATCCAATCTAGGCTACAGTGGGTCCCTCTGCAGTTTATTTCTATGGAGTGCTTGCCATTTCAAAATAACTACTATACTTTATTCTCATTATTTGATTAATGCTCTTCTAATTTTTATGATGGGAAAATTGTGTCTATTTTGTTCACCGAGCCATCCTGCCTCACCCAATGCCAGGCACGCAATTGATTTAAGGTATCTGTTGAGTTGCAGCTCTTCGATTTTGGAAAAAGTTTGTATTACATATACTTTAAAATTTTAATTGCCAGATTTACAATATAATAGACCAAAATGTTCTCAGAGCCTGCTCTATTCCTAGATAGAATACAGTCTTCTTTCTCCAAAGAACTACTGTTTTTCACCTAAATCTTTCTCCTTCCTTTTCTTCTATCCTCTGCCTTCCACTATTCCTTCTCTTCCCTTAACTAACCATAAAAAGGACTTTAAATGAGTTATGACTGTTAAAGAGCTTAGACCAGTGCTTTCCAATAGAACTTTCTGTGTTGATGGAAATAGTCTGAGAGCACACTCGTAGCCACTAAGCCACATGTGGTTATTCAGCTCCTGAAATGTGGTTAGTATGACTGAGAAACTGAAATTTTAATCTTATTTAATTTTAATTTATATTTCAATGTAAATAGCCCCATGTGGCTACAGTCTTAGCACAGGCGTGGGCATTGAGGTTACTTGTTTATGGGACAGTATCCTGGCTCTATTACTTACCAGCCCTATGACCTTTGGCAAATTATTGACCTCTTATGAGTCTCACATTTAAACTCAGAGTAAGTGAAGGAGCTCTGGGAATTTCACCCCAAAAAATGACTCCTTGGTATAAAGAGTATTTTGAATTAAAGGCCCTTAGAGATCAACGGGCCTTCAAAGGGGTTTTCCCTCTTTTTCATAAAAGAACCAGACCTATCAAAAACAATCCACTCCCCTACCCTTCCCTGTTATCTTAATATATTATAGGAAAGAAGATCAAAAATCAACCAGACCTGGCCCAAATCATTTTAAATCTAATACCTCTCTCTGATTAATTTAATTTGCAAAGTCAATCTGTTTTTCTCCATCCATTCATTCATTCTTCCAAATATCTATTCACCCTCCCTAGTAACCAATTATTTATTTATTTATTGCGAGACAGAGTCTCACTCTGTTGCCTGGGCTAGAGTGCAGTGGCGTCAGCCTAGCTCACAGCAACCTCAAACTCCTGGGCTCAAGCAATCCTTCTGCCTCAGCCTCCTGAGTAGCTGGGATTGCAGCCATGTGCCACCATGCCTGGCTAATTTTGTTTATATTTTTAGTTGTCCAGATAATTTCTTTCTGTTTTTAGTAGAGACAGGGTCTCACTCTTGCTCAGGCTAGTTTCGAACTCCTGACCTCGAGCAATCCTCCCACCTCGGCCTCCCAGAGTGCTAGGATTACAGGCATGAGCCACTGCGCCCAGTCTGAAATTTTCTTAGAAGAAGACTCATGCTATCACCTCACTGTTAAGGCCCTTAAAGTACTGTTAAGCACCTATACTGCCATCAAAATAAAATAAAAATCCTCCTGGATTCACATGAGCCATGCCAAACTACACGGAGACAATTGGGGAGGACGACCCCTATAGGTGACCTGAAAATAAGGATTTCCAAGGCCAGTTTCCAGGGCCCTGAAACAGACATTTTCACAAAGAAGATAGCTTTTCCCCCAAGATCATGGATCAAGAGAACCCATTTTCCATAGAAAAACTCCTTTTTTCTTTTAACCTCCACCCCAACAGGATCCTTTGTAAGCACTTCTTTTAAGCCTCACCCTTCAAGGACTGTACATGGGAAGCTGAGACCGCCTCAGCCTATCCCATTTTCCCTTTTAATCTTCCACTGTGACTCTTCTTCCAAACTGTGCCTTGCTCTTACTAACCCTTACTGCTTTTCCAGCAGGTCAGGCACAGACCCAGCATGCCTTTGCCTCGGTCTTTCAAACTCCGGCCAGATTAACTCATCAATCTAATTGCTGGTTATGCCAACATCTAGATCACGCAAAGGAACCTGAACTCATTTTTGTTGCTGCCAATGTGCGTGCCCGGTGGAAGCAGTCCAGAAGATGGCTGTGGTGAGGCGTCTGTAACCACAGAAAAAACATCACGCTGCATCTCTTGCTGGTGAGTCAACTGGATGCAAAAACACCTCTGGAAGCTCAAGAACTGTCTTTTGCTCAGGTAAAGTCACTGGACATAAAATTTTTATCTTTTCTGTGACAAACAAGGGCCATATTGTGACCAAACCCTATGCTTTGATTCCACAGATGTCATTTTTGCACCTCTTCAATGATGCTGACAGTAACTCTTATGATGTCAACGCTTGTAAAATCACCAGGTGTTACGTATGGCTCACAAGCCAGGCCGGTGCAACTTGGGGTAGCTCACTGGATCCCCTTGTTAAGCTGCCAGACAGTAAAGATTACATATGGATAGACCAAAAATCTGGGCTGAATTAGGTGACAAAACTAAGCCCTATAACTGCCAGAACTGGACCAAAGTCCTGTTTATATCAAATATTTTGCAAATTGTTCTGTTCCCACAGACTGGCAGGGACACGTGGAAATGACAATGAGAAAGAAAAGACACAGCAAACTCCAGTGGTGGGACAAATGCTATCCAACTACATAGGTTGAGGTTACAACAATGGTAAAGAAATTAGTAACTGAGATTATATCTCATTTGGGTATTCCTTTATGGATTGAATCAGATCGAGGGAGTCATTTTATAGCAGAAATAAAGCACTTGCTTGCAAAGGCTCTGGGATACTTATTAAAATTTTATATCCCATATAATCCCCAATCTTCAAGGCAAGTGAAATATAAAAATCTCGACATGGAAAGGACTTTGGGAAAAGTCTGTCAAGACACTGGATTTAAATGGCCAGAAGCATTACCTTTGGCTGTTACAAAAATCCAGACTACTCCAAGTATTGGAGATATGGATTAATCCCTTTTGAAATAGTGTTTGGTCACCCCATGCCACTGATACCTCTAAACCTTCCATTCCTGGGAAGCTCATACACTCCAACCTGGCCCTATCTGTAAATAACACTGGTCTGTTTATCTTGTGTAGTAATAAAGCACACAGGTGGTTCCCACCTAGATGGTCAGGATGCTGTGGACTTGGTTATCTGATAACCTCTGCTACCAGGTACTCCACTTTAAATGACAAACTTGGGCTCTTTTGTTCATAAAATGGTACCACACAAATGTACTAGACACAATATTATTTTTAAAAACCCACTTGTATATCACAATTCTAAGTTCTTTTAGGTGCTCAGGACTCTTTTCCTGGCATTTGGAGCTTATGAGATTGAAAAGGCAGTTTTGAATCTCTCCATGATAGAAGAACAGTTCATCAATCTCACTATGCAAGCACTGAGAGCACTTCAGACAGAAGTCAACAGCCTAACCTCTGTTGTATTTGAAAACCACTGCCCCCTGGATGCCCTGACAGCCCAACAGGGAGGAGCTTGCTCGATTATTGGCAAAAAAAATGGTGTTTCTATGTAAAGCACTCAGGGTTCTATGTAAAACACTCAGGGCAAGTAGAGACTGATCTACACCCCTTAAAAGATAAAAGTTATCCATCAGATAAATGAAGTGAAACCATTCTATTGGTCTGACCCATTCCCAGGAATGGGAGACTGGTTTAACAGAATGTGAGAAAATGTGCTTAGCTCTGTTCTTTTCTACTTATCTATTTTTTATTTTTTTTAGGTTACTCAAGCGAAGCAGTGGGAGTAGAGAAGGAACAAAGGAATCTGTAACTGGTTGTGATCAATTAGTTGTAAATACCACTGCACACAGACCAGCCAAAACATGTTGAGGCCAGGTGTGGTGGCTCATGCCTGTAGTCTTACCACTTTGGGATCCTGAGCAACATATGAGACCCCCCCCCACATCTCTACAAAAAATTAAAAAATTAGTCGGGCATGGCAGTGTGTGCCTGTAGTCCCAGCTACTTTGGAGGCTAAGGCAAAAGGATGGCTTGAGCCCAGGAGTTTGAGGTTGTAGCGAGCTGTAATGATGCCACTGCAAAGTGAGACTTTGCGCATATGAGCATATGTGGTAGATTGCACTTTCCAAAGATGGCCACAACACTATCATCTATTGCATGTGCTCATCTACTCTACTCCATCACTAGGTGAAGCTTATTTTCCCCACCCCCTTGAATCCAGGTGGGCCCTGTGACTGCTTTGACTAATAGAATATGGAGAAGTACAGAAGCCACGTTGTTCTAATTCTCGGTGCACATTTTAAGTGGCCAGGCAGCTTCTGCTTACTTCCTCTTGGAAGGCTCTTGGGACTCCCCCACTTGGAACCAATCATCAAGCTGTAAGAAGCCCAAGTCACATGGAGAGGTCATGTGCAAGCTCACTAGTCAACAGTCCCAGATAATGACTGACCAACCAACACCCAGCATTGACTACCAGCCACGTAAGTGGGCCATCTTAAGCATCTAACTAACCCAGTTGGGCCTTCACATGACTGCAACCCAGGCAACTGATTGAAACCACATGAGATATCCCACCCAAAAAGGATCCAGCTGAGCCCAGGCAATCTAGAAACCACGAGAGAGAGAAATAAATTGTTTTAAGCCACAAAGTTTGGAGGTGGTTGGTTATATAGCAATGTTAACCAAAACAGCAAGCAGGCCTAATACATGCTAACTTAGTTATTTATGAAAATAACCTAACACATAATAAATCATGCACACAATCAGGAATTTTAAAAGATGAGAAAAATAAGAAATAATTAGCAATTTTAAATATCTTCCTAATTATACTTGTTTTCTTATACCACCCTTGACCAAAGGGCCCAATATACACAAGGGCCAAGTAATCATTCATAATAGTGGATATAAAATCCCTCTTTTAAACAGTCTTCTTGATGGTATCAAAATGTTGTGGCCTACTGCTTGTCAGTTCTGATTAAATCCTTGTTGTTTTTAATCTCATAACATGGTTAAATGGAGAATTTATAATAAGAATTGGAAAAATATTAGCTCTGTCATGACAAACATGAAAGTTTCCATGTTTTTTACATTACTAATATTTTCTTTATTCTGGTTTTATCCTCCTAAATTTTTATTTGCGTTTCTTTTGTTTTTCAGAAATCTTTTAAAGCCAGTTGTCCCTCTTGCAAGGATTAGCAATTAAACCAGATGACATAATCTGCAAATCTCCTTAGCCAGGACCACATAAACCACCACAAATCACAACCTGCTGGAAGGGAACAAATGCCCGGGGCTACACAGGCAACCCCTGGGGACAATGGTGATGTCTCCCTTCAGGACGCTGCTGGTCAAGTTTGTGACAACGTGGCAGTGTGACACAGACTGACCACATGTCAATCCATGTGCGTTAAATATAAGTGCAATTTAATTCTCCTCCTCCATATTTTAGAGAAAAAATAAATACAATAAATTCTTCTGGTACCCCAGTGGACTCTGTTGCATATCCTGGGGGGTGTTCACTCCACTTGAGAACCTCACTGTGCTTGAAGACCAAGTGCAAACTCCTGAGCTCAGGCTGTGGGGACCTGCATTTTCTTTTTTATTTTATTTTATTTTATTTTATTATTTATTTTTTGAGACAGGGTCTCACTTTGTTGCCCAGGCTAGAGTGAGTGCCATGGCATCAGCCTCGCTCACAGCAACCTCAAACTCCTGGGCTCAAACAATCCTGCTGCCTCAGCCTCCCAAGTAGCTGGGACTACAGGCATGCGCCACCATGCCCGGGGAATTTTTTCTATATATATTAGTCGTCCAGTTAATTTCTTTCTATTTATAGTTGAGACGGGCTCTCCCTCTTGCTCAACCTGGTTTCTACCTGGGGCAATCTGCCCGCCTTGGCCTCCCAGAGTGCTAGGATTACAGGGGATCTGCACTTTCTGAGTCCCCTCTCTCTCCCTTCCCTCCCTACCCCTCATCCTCCTTTGTGCTTCCCAGTTTCTTCTCTACACAGAGGAAACCCTTAGAATGACAAGCCTCTAGGTCACCTCAGAGTACCTTAAAAAGGAGTGACAGATGGACAGGGAAAAAAACACCCTTAGATTCTAGATAAAAAGATTAGGAATTTCATTTAATGTTTGGAAACAATTAAGCTTATGATTTTGCATTTTACAGAAATAGAATCACAGAACTTTGGAGAAAGAGGAATGAATCCTAATTAAATGAACCTAGTTTTTAAAAATCCAGATATTATATCCTGGATTGCGTTGGAGAACGTTCTGTTTTACACAAGCACTTAAGTAGATGCTCTGCTTTTAAGAGTTCAGGTTAAGCTACTCTGAGGAAATTCACTGCAAAAAGAAAAAAACACAACCAAGGCAGAGATGACTTAAGTTTTATTATTTAAGTTGTGATTATTAAGTGCCTTATTTACAGTAGAATCTACAACATACAGCCATGAAAATAAACTAATTCTAGTAAGTGAAAATAAATGTTTCATGATAAACATGAAAAATGAGAAGGTAGTTGGTTGATGAACGCAATGAACAAAATATATGCACCAAAAGAAAAATAGGTATACTGGGATACAGTACTCTTTTGGAAAAAGTTAATGAAAATGTTTTCCCTGTGAGCCTGACACATGTTCAAGAAAATGTAAATACTAACTTATCTCTGATAAGTCCCTTGCTGGGGTGAACGGAAAACTTCTCCCTTGTCCTCTGAAGATCTGTGGGAAGCACTGACAAAAGGCAGATTAACAGAAGAAAAGGTATGCAAATTCATTTGATCATAGTTTTACAGTGACATGGGAGCCTTATGAATGAAGTCCCAAAGATACAGTAACAATTGTCAGTTTTTATGCTTAGGTTCAACAAAGTATGGGCAGCTGTGTAGAAATATGATTGAACAAAAAGGGTATGATCTAGGCCGGGCGCAGTGGCTCAAGCCTGTAATCCTAGCACTCTGAGAGGCCCAGGTGGGTGGACTGCTCGAGGTCAGGAGTTCGAAACCAGCCTGAGCAAGAGCGAGACCCCGTCTTTACTATAAATAGAAAGAAATTAATTGGCCAACTAATATATATAGAAAAAATTAGGCTGTGGCGGTGGGTGGTGCATGGCCTGTAGTCCCAGCTACTGCAGGGGTTGAGGCAGAGGATTGCTTGAGCCCAGGAGTTTGAGGTTGCTGTGAGCTAGGCTGACGCCAGGGCACTCACTCTGGCCTGGGCAACAAAGTGAGAAAAGTCTCAAAAAAAAGGGGGGGGTATCATCTAATGTTAAAAGACTAAGTAGGGAGACTCAGCAAGGCCAATTTATCTAGATTCTTCGTGGCCTTTCTGAGCAGGCATTCCTTCTTTCTGGGTATGTGGCAGGACCCTCTCTGGAATGGGGGTCTTATGACCTACAGTCAAACAACGTAAGTCAGATAATTTACCTTGTGGTAAATTATCTTTATGGCCAGTTTTTACACAGAAAGTTGTGTGTGTTGGGGGTGATTAGAGAAATATTTTTAGGTTTTATGGCTGCCTTTGGGGAAAAGGAGTTCTGGGTCCTATGACCCACCTTTGGGAGGAGGATTCTAGTTTCTATGGCTAGCCTCAGGGGAGAATGAAGGGTCAGAGACAGGGGGCAGGAGCCCCAAAATTCCCTGATCTGAAACTTCTCCAAGAAGTTCCACAATCCAGATATTGGTTTGGTGTATAATTGTATAAGCCATCCGGGCCGGGCGCCATGGCTCATGCCTGTAATCCTAGCACTCTGGGAGGCCAAGGCCGGAGGATCATTTGAGCTCAGGAGTTGGAGACCAGCCTGAGCAAAAAAGAGACCCTGTCTCTACTAAAAATAGAAAGAAATTAATTGGCCAACCAAAAACATATAGAAAAAATTAGCCGGGCATGGTGGTGCATGCCTGTAGTCCCAGCTACTCGGAGGGGGCTGAGGGCAGCAGGATTGCTTGAGCCCAGGAGTTTGAGGTTGCTGTGAGCTAGGCTGATGCCAGGCACTCTAGCCTGGGCAACTCCATGTAATTAATTCTTGATCACTTTGATAATGGGTTAGCAATCTTCATGAATGCATCAGTTATTTGTTAGAGTTCTGGAAGTTTTACCTAGTCCAATGGTATGATCTCCAGAGTTATCAGAAACTGTATTCAAGAGTATTGTCAGGATCCTTTCCATAAATTTCCTTGAAGAATAACACTTCAGGATTTGCAAAAAGCCTTTAGAAAAAAGCATCAGAGTAAAGCAATTTATTGCATATACCAAGACATATCAGATTTTCAAGAATTCCATACAATTTTGGAACACAGTATCTCTTGGGAAAGTCTTCCTATGTCCTTCCTAGCCTAGGCACATGAATTCTTCAGGTTGGAGGCACTAATTTAGCCTTATATTAATAGACCATTATGACACTTGATTACTGCCCTGCTTGTATTAATATGTGTCAGCTCCACCGTCTGGGCAGTGACTCATTCTCTTTGGGTTTCCAGTGCTTAGTACAAGTCAGTCACACATGAGAGCTCAATAAAGAATATTTGCTTGAATAGCATATTGTTTAAATTCAAATGATAGATGTGTTGATATATTTTACATAGAGGAGAAAGAGGGAGGAGAGGGAGAGAAATAGATACCTACATAAAGTCAATTGTGTTAGGCACAAAAGAACAAAAAATAGACTGTAAATGTGACCATTTTGTTCAGCTTGTGTTCACAGATCTACTGAATTACTACTAAGCTGCCTTTATCTATTCACAAGATACTTTGCTTTTTTTTTTTTTTTTTTGAAACAGTCTCTCTCTCTCACTCTGTTGCCCAGGTTAGAGTTAGTGCTGTGGGGTCGGCCTAGCTCACAGCAACCTCAAACTCCTGGGCTCAGGCGATCCTTCTTGTGGGGCGCGCGGTGGCAACGCCATTCCAAGGATGGGCGCCGCTTCCTGGTCACACCCTACTGTGCCGTCTGGACAAACAGATGTTCAGCGCATGTGCAAAGCCTTGCCTCCTCTCCTGTTCTGTGTTGACCAATCAGGTTATGCCCCGTGTACTTACTGTCTATATAAGCAGCCGCGGGAACGCCTCGGCGTCTCCGCATGTAACCAGTTAAGCAATCCCCATTAAAGCGCTGTCAGAAGAACTCCAGTTGCCGTGTCTTCCTTGCTGGCGAGGCGGGCGCGACACCTTCTGCCTCAGCCTCCAGAGTAGAGGCATGTGCCTACAGGCATGTGCCACCATGCCCGGCTAATTTTTTCTATATATTATTAGTTGGTCAATTAATTTCTATTTTTAGTAGAGACGGGGTCTCGCTCTTGTTCAGGCTGGTTTCGAACTCCTGACCTTGAGCGATCTGCCCTCCTTGGCCTCCCAGAGTCCTACGATTACAAGTGTGAGCCACTGTACCCGGCCAATACTTTGTTTTTCTTCCCCAACTTTGGATAGACAGTGAAATGTCCCTGGAACTTTTCTGAATCTAATTAAGGCAGGAATTCTGACTTCACAGGATTTTGTTTTAAGCTCTAGCTCCATCATCTAGTTCAGGGGTCCTCAAACTTTTTAAACAGAGGGCCAGTTCACTGCCCCTCAGACCGTTGGAGGGCCCTTGGAGAGTGTGGTGCACATTCCACGCATGCACACCGTGGGCCCCGGACAAGTGGGCTGCTAAGCAGGACAGGCAAAACACCCGGGGGGCCAGATAAATGTCTTCGGCAGGCCGCATGTGGCCCTTGGGCCATAGTTTGAGGGCGCCTGATCTAGTTGGTTTCAAGTTGGAACTCTATTAGCTACTAGATATCTAGTAGCTAAACCTTATCTGGTAGGTAAACCTTGGGCAAATCATCTAATGTCTCTGAATCTCTCTTTAATGACTCAACAGCTCAGCTATCTCCCCTATGGAGGTAAAAATGGAGGTCAGAGCATTTTGCAAACTACTGAACAGAATGTATCGTGGTTATTTATTTGTTTAACACAAAGTTATCAAGCTCTACACAGTGATAAAGTACGTAGACTCTGGTGGCAGATTCTGTTCCAGCAATGCCACTTACTTCCTTTGAAAGCTTGGTTTAGTTATTCACCCTCTCCCTGTGCCTCAGTTCCTCCATTTGTGAAATGATGTTAATAATAGAGTTTTTATGAAGACTAAATGAGATAATTCACATAAGATCTGTGCTGGCACCCAGTAAGATCTCAAACTACGTCCACTGTAATTATTACACTGAAGAGTCATATTGAGTCTGTAGGTGTTCTGAGATAATTTGGCATCTGTGAAATCTGAATTATTGCTAATTTTAGAGAGAAGAAAGGATCCATAGGCACTTCACCTCTCTATAAACTGAACCTTCTGGCATGACTTAATTAGAGCCCTGCTGCGGGGCTGAAAAGTGGCACTTGACCTTAGATTCTCCATAAATCCTCCCTGCAAACTGACCGCTCCATGAGGTCATTGATTCTACCGCTGTGCTAAGAGGCCACACTGGCTTTGTTTTATAGCCTTTCCCAG